TTTTTTACAAGCCAAAATACTTTATCTATCGTTACGTATCTCTATACAAATCTATTTATGTATTTATGGAAATTAACGTGGAGCTTCTAAATGCTTAACGTCTAATTTTACACATAAATATACTTTTTAAGTCCCGTTTAATACTAACACTACGTAGCCTTAGGCTAAAAGAACAGAGTATTGTACCGGGTATCATCAAATTTGGTCCGAACCATCCTAGTGACAGCACAGCAAATAAATCTTTTTCTAAGCCACAAGATGGATGCCAATTTTATTTGCACATATCGAAGAAAAATTAATCATGGTTAATTATTAAACAAAATTTCCGACTACTGTCATGGTTAATTACTAAACACAAAATTTCCGACTACTGTCATGGTTAATTACTAAACACAAAATTTCCGACTACTGTTGAACCTCTCAAAACCGATAACCTGTTACATATGATAAAAAATTAGTCGCCCAAGCTTGCTTCTACATATAAAAAAATCCGATGGTTTATAATGCTTTCAAATCTGATAACCTCTCAATGCTGACACAAAACCTGTCCACCATGCATATCGGTTTTGAGAGGTTCAACAGTATTTAACTTTTGTTCTCTGCTTCTTTCAATGCGCTCTTTGTAAATTGAGGCAAAATAAAAGCAGCTTCATGAATTTCCGAATTATAATATCTAAATAATTTTTCTTCTTTTTCTTCTGGCCATTTTCTGATCGGTTTTTTCAAATTACGAGACGGGTCATTGCTACATAATAATATACCAATTTGACCTGATGGATAGGTTGGGATTGTGGTATAAGCATATTCAACTACTGAAAATACTTGACGACAATGATTTTGAACTTCGGAGATCAAGGGAAGGTGAAGCCATTGACATTCGCCTTTAATAAATTACAATGGAAAAAGATATACTATTGGCTAGGGTATTGTTGTAAAGATGCGAAAGATAATAAAAAAAACTACCTTGAGCAGAAACGACACCACCAGGACGCAATGCATTTTTCATAAGTTCATAATATTTAGGTTTAAATAAGGATTCAGCAGGACCTAAATATTAAAGTATATAATTAGATTAGACGTTACCATTGGCGATAGCACAATCAAATACTTACCAACAGGATCCGACGAGTCAGTAATTATAATGTCGAAATAATTAATTTTATCTTCCAAAAAAGGAAATCCATCGCCAATATGAACTTTAACTTTGGGACTATCAAAACCAATTGCCATTCCGGGTAAATGCTTTTTGGATGAGCGAATTACCGCCTAACATGCGCATACGTAATATATTAAAGTACGTTTTCAAGATTGAATGGCGAAAATATGATAATAATAACCTCATCAATTTCACATAAAACAACTTCTTCAACACAATCGTGTTTAACGACTTCACGAAGAACCCCACCATCACCACCACCAATTACAAGAACCTGTTTTGCATATTAATGTGTCAATGAGAATTTTAGGACGAAGTAAAAGGATTATAACAAAAGTGGATCTCTTGCAATATGGGTAACACCATTAGTAAAATGTATTATCAATCAATTGATTTAGAATAGGTGTCACCTATATTGCAAGAGATCCACAAAAGTGTTTAACAAACTTTTTGAGGATTCGGATGACACATCATTGGAAGGTGAGTAATCATTTCTTGGTAGCTATTTTATAAACATAATCAAACCAAATTTTTGAGGCAACGAGTCAGATATTTGCATAAACATACGAAAATTCATCCCGTTCAGTGCATTGAACCACGCCATCTAATGCTAGCACATTTCCGTAAGTTTTGGATTTAAATATTAAAATATCTTGGTATGGAGATTGTTCGTGATGAATAATTTTGTCGATTTCCAAACCCATTTCTAAGTTAAAAAAAGACATTGATGAGCATTTGCATGTTGGATAAAAATTGCATGCGAGCAGAATACCTTGGCCGTCCCATAGTAATGGTTTTTCTCGGAACCATCCATCTGATGGCAAAAAAAAAATTGAAAAGGTCTCGATATAGATAAATAAAATATCGGCAATTGAAATCTATTAATGCAATGCTTGCCTCGAATTTGAGGATGAGTAAAATTGGTATAATCAGCCATTTTGTGATTTAACAACTTTCGCTATTGCTATACGAACAATCTGAAGGTATTAAAAAAAAAAACAAAACTGATAGATAAATATTTTTATTCACGTGTAACATCGATGAGGTTACACGCGATACTTTTAAGTAATCGGGGACAACCGAATCTATTCAGAGAAAAGGCCTAAATGCTATATATATATTATATATAGCGTTTAGGCCCTTTCTACTGCAAAGACTCTATTTGGTGCGTTTTGCGCGGGTACGTACGTACATCTATGCAGGGACGTAGAAAAGCATGGAAGGGTATCAATTTTACATCAATAATGCAGATTTAAATCTGGCAAAGTTTCCAGAAACACATTTCGGAGTTACACCAGCCACGATTAATTAAACTCGGACAAATATTATTTCGATAATTTTGAGATAAATTTCAACTATATTTCATTCTTTTGTCGCCTAAAATTCAAATTCTTGTGCCCGCAAACATCCCATTTTATATAATTTGTAAAAAAGTTAAACTGATTCTGGAGATTTTGTTTTTATTTTTGTATGTAATAACAATATGTGTTAGAAAAAAAAGGTACAACTCACTCTCGTTATAGTGAAGTCGTCGAGCTGAAAAAATAAATCTTCATTATGGCTTATATCGGGAGAATACTATATGTACTTCTTCACTATCGCGAATTTTCACTACCGGTATATCGAGAGTTCACTATAACGAGTGCAAAAATTTGATGAAAGTTTTTTTTATTTTGATTCAACAAGTATGTGAAATCAAAATATCGAAGTTGGTTTGGTGTTTGTCGAGATACCTTCGGCTAAAGTTCGTCAAATAAATTAAACCATCTATTAAAACTCCAAAGTTTTTAAAAGATATCTCGACACCACCAAACCACATTCGATGAAAATTTTTTTATTTTGATTTTAAGAGTATGTAGAGATATCTTAACGTTAAACAAAAAGTAAAAATTGACTACGGTTTGAATTGACTGTTTAATTTATTGACGAACTTTAAACGAAGATATCTCAAAACTACCAAACCAAACTCAATGAAATTTTTTTGTATTTTCATCTAATTTGGTTTAATTTATTTGACAAACTTTAACCGAAGATATCTCGACAACCACCAAACCAAATTCAAATTTTGCTTATTACATATATATATTTTTTAATATATGGGAACTTTGCTAGGAAAATGACCCTCCGAGACTATGTTGATTTTGTGAATAAACATTAAATTTGCCAAACATCTAGTTATCCAATTTGAATGAATTTTTTTTTATTTTGTAGATTCTATTGAGATTTACAAAATAAAAAAAAGTTCATTCAAATTTGATGACTAGATGGCTGGCAAATTTAATTTTTATTCACAATATCAACATAGTCTCGGAGGGTCATTTTCCTAGCAAAGTTCCCATATAGTTTGGCTAGGGTTTAACTATATAGTTTTTGAGATATAGCAACTATATATGATAAAATTATGTAACAAAGATGTCCTACACTGTATCACCGTCCAATGGGAGAATGAGTCGTAAATTAGTAAGAGGATTTTTAATTTTTATTGTAAACAATATAAAAAATTTGTGTAATGGTACTTTTTTAACATGCAATATGCATCAGCCAATTAAAAGGGGCCATTTCCAATCTTAATTCGCAATAAATAAATATATCGATATCGAAACGTTAACTGCTACATAATAAAATGATATACAAAGCCGTCATTCTCGTAGGCGGACCTTCTCGTGGTACGCGTTTTCGACCGCTTTCTTTGAATGTACCGAAACCTTTATTTCCAATCGCCGGTCATCCAGTTATTTGGCACCATTTGGATGCCTTATCTAAGGTTGAAGGTTTGAAAGAAGTCCTACTGATTGGATTTTATGAGGATTCGGTTTTTCAAAGGTTTATAGACGATGCAGCTAGAGATTTCCCACAGATTTATGTTCGGTATGACACTATTGGGATGCGGTTCTTATGTTATCAAAGTTACCTATGCAAACTTTTTTTTACCTCTTATGTAGTTATTTACGCGAATACCAGTCTTTGGGAACAGCTGGAGGTCTATATCATTTTCGGGATGAAATTCAAAGAAACGACCCGCGCCAAATATTCGTTCTTAATGCTGATGTAGCGTGTAACTTCCCCCTAAACGAAATGATTAAATTTCATAATACGCATAGAGGATTATGTACGATATTAGGAACTAAGGTAGAGTCTTAATGATCCAAGTCTAATTATGTGTAATCATATTAATAGATTTGATTTATTTAGGTTGCCCGTGAAGTTGCTAATAGATTTGGATGTCTAGTTGAGAAACCAGAAAATCACGAAGTTTTGCATTATGTAGAAAAACCTGAAAGTTTTATATCTAATTTAATTAGTTGCGGTATTTATTTGTTCGATTGTGCTATTTTTACTGAAATGAAAAAAGCAATGCAAAATAAGGCCAATCGAGTCGAGTATCCTTTTTTTTCAAGCACGCGAATACAAATAAGTGTTTGAGTTCCATCCTTAATAAAACAATTTGGTCAATTAATAGTCAAGATCAAATTCAGGTGCAAGATGATAAGCTTCGCTTAGAACAGGATATACTCCGACCTTTAACAGAATCAAGTAAATTATTTGTATATGAAACAACTGATACTTGGATTCAAATTAAAACTCCCAGGTATTCGAAATTTCTAAATAACTCTCATTTAAATCATTTGATGGTGTTATCTCACGATTCTTCTGTATAGTTCAGCTGTTCCTGCAAATGCATTATATCTTGAACAATATCAAAAAACAGATCCTGATCGATTATTAAAAAACGTGCCTGATGGTCCTACTATAGTCGGGCTTGTTTATAAACATCCCACCGCCACTATCGATCCTACTGCTAAGGTTTGTGAATTGGTTTATAACCATAATTTAAGTGTTGTACGTTACTTTAATTACAAAGATTTATTTATTAGATTGGCCCAAATGTGACTATTGGCCCTCGTGTGGTCATTGGAAAGGGTGTTCGCATCAAGGATTCAATTATCTTGGATAATGCAGATATTAAAAACAATGGTTGTGTTTTGTACAGCATTATCGGATGGGATTCAAAGATTGGAAACTGGTCTCGTGTTGAGGGTACACCGACGACGGATCATTCAACAACTGTTACACAGAACGGTGTTAAAATCCAATCAATTTCTATTCTTGGTATGGATTTACAGTTTGAAAGTGATTAATTGTTTAAATATATTAATAAATATTCTTTGCATATAGCCAAGGAAGTTACTGTTAAAGACGAAATCATTATACGTAACTGTATTGTGCTGCCAAACAAGGAATTAAAAACAAGTTGCCACAATGAAGTTTTGATGTAATAATTACATCTTGTTGATTGATTAATTTCATAGACTCATACCAGATAAATTTAATTATTTATTTAAATTTTCACATGTGAATTATGAGAACTGATAACTAATGGTTTCTAGCATTATATATATATATATTTGGTTTTTTTAAAATTGGTTTTTTATGTTTATTAATAAATTCCATTTATAGTAATTAGAGAAAAAATTTTAAGTTGTCTTTTTGTCACAGCCGCAATGTGGTCAGTTACATTTCAAAACCAAGAATCGAAACAATCAGGATATTAATTGTCGTGGCTGAAGCTGGAAATGGCTGAAGCTGGAAATTTTAAATATTTTAATATGAAATTTACAAAAAATTT